CTATATAGATACCATGTACCAAAATTAAATCAAGACCAGGTGAGCAATTTAAATAGACCTATAAACTGTAAAGAAATAGAAGCTGTCATCAAAAGCATCCCAACCAAAAAAAAAAATCCCAGGAACAGATGATTTTAGTGCAGAAGTCTACCAGAACTTCCAAGAAGAGTTAATACCTATACTCCTCAAATTTTCCACATAATAAAAACAGAAGGAACATTGCCAAACTCTTATTATGAGGCTACAGTTACCCTGATGCCAAAATCACACGGAGACTCAACTAAGAAAGAGAATTTTAGACCAATCTCATGCATGAACATAAATGCAAAAATACTTAAACAATACTGGCAAACTAAATCCAAGAACACATCAAAAAGTGTACTTCCCACTCTCTCTTCTATGTGGTTCAGTGTGGCTGGCTTTATGATGAGGTCTTTGATCCATTTGGACTTGAGTTTTGTGCATGGTGATAGATATGGGTCTATTTTCATTCTTCTACATGTTGATATTCAGTTATGCCAGCACCGTTTGTTAAAAATGCTTTCTTTTTACATTTGGTATTTTTTGCTTCTTTGTCAAAAATTGGGTTTTCAATGCTGTGTGGATTAATAGCCGCGTCTTCGATTCAGTTTCATTGGTCCTCCTGTTTGTTTTTATGCCAATACCAAGCTGTTTTCAGCACTGTGGCTCTGTAGTAGAGTTTGAAGTCAGAGGTTGTAATGTCTCCAGAAGTTCTTTTATTATACAGAAATGTATTGGCTATCCTGTTTTTTGATGTTTTGTTTTTGTTTTTGTTTTGTTTTTGTTTGGTTTGGTTTGGTTTTGCTTTTCCATATGAAAATGAGTACTTTTGGAAAATTCAAAATGTCATTATTTGTTTCTGCTGTGTAGTACTCCAGAACCTAAATTCCCTTCGACCAAAGAATGGTAAAAAAAAAAAACCCACATCATTTTGAGTGAGGTAAAATTAAAATTCCAGAGAACCTAGTCAAAAATGAAGATGCTAAGAGAGGCATACATAGATCTAATCTACATGGGAAGTAGAAAAAGACGAGATCTCCTGAGTAAATTGGGAGCATGGGGACCTTGGGAGAGAGTTGAATGGGAAAGAGAAGCAGGGAGGGGAACAGAGGAAAAACATAGATCTCAATAAAAATAAATATATAAAGTAAAAAGAGATCAAGGAGCTTCAAATCGGAAAAAAGGAAGTCATACTTCCATTATGTGCAGATTATAGGATAGTATGTATAAGTAAACGAAAAACTCTACCAGGAAACTCCTACAGCTGATAAATACCTTCAGTAAAGTGACAGGATACAAGATCAACTAGAAATTTAGTAGCCGTCCTATATATAAATGATAAAGGGGCTGTTGAAGTAATCAGAGAAACATCACATTTCAGAATAGCCACAAATAACATAAAATATCTTGGGGTAGCAAAAACCAAAGAAGTGAAAGACCTATTAGACAAGAATTTTAAGTCTGTGAAAAAAAGAAATTTAAGAAGATAGCAGAAAATAGACAGATCTCCCATGTTCCTGGATAGGTAAGATCAACATAATAAAAATGGCAATCCTACCAAAGCAATCTATAGATTCAATGCAATCCCTATCAAAATCACAATACAATTCTTCACAGACCCTGAAAGAACAATAATCAACTTTGTATGGAAGAACAAAAAAAAACCCAGAAGAGTCAAAACAACCCTATACAATAAAGAAACTTCTGGAGGCATCACTATTCCTGATGTCAAGCTATATTACAGGGTGACAGTAATGAAAACAGCTTGTTATTGGCATAAAAACAGAGAGATTGACCGATAGAATTAAATTGAAGATCCAGATATTAATCCACACACCTATGAACATCTGATTTTTTACAAAGAAGCTAATATTCCACAATGGAAAAAAAAGCATCTTCTACTAATGGTGTTGATATAACTGAATGTCAACATGTAAAAGAATGAAAATAGATCCATATCTATCCCCATCCACAAAACTCAACTCCAAATGAATTAAAGGTCTCAATATAAATCCAACTAAACCAAACCTAATAGAAAAGAAAGTGAGAAGTAACCTTTAATGCCTAAATATAACCTAAATATAACCCCAGTAGCACAAACACTGAGAACAACAATAAATAAGAGGGACCTCTTTAAACTGAGAAGCTTCTGTAAAGCGATGGACACAGTCACTAAAGCAAAAAGGCATCCTGCTGAAGGGGAAAAGATTTTCACCAACCCCACATCAGTCAGAGAACTGATTTCCAAAATATATAAAGAACTCAAGAAACTTGATATGACATGTCATGTCTTTGTGTCTGCAGGTCAGGTCCCTTCACGTACAGAACACAGATAGGTTAGATGTTTTGCTGGGCCTATGCAAAGCAACCTGGTTATGGTTCTGGGAAGTTACAGGGTTAATCAGCCTGCCTATTCTCCCCATCCTTACCAGCAGGGTGAGCTCTCCATCATTGATTACCAACTTCCGAGAAACCACCATTTTAATTCGGTAATTGCTGTACATGTACATCTTCTTGAAGAATTTGTCCCTGTTGGATATCTTCTTTGTGTCAGTTCCTATCCTAAATTTCTCTGTCAGTAGCCTAACTCACAACAGTTTCATTTCCATTCTCAGTTGTGCATCTCGGGTGTTTTAATGACTTGTTTTTCAGGAGGGGAATTAATTGTCCTGACTGCCATGTCTTATGACCACTATGTTGCCATCTGATGTCCCTTGTACTATGATGCCATCATGAATGGTAGTACATGTTTGCTCATGGTGGGTGTTTCATAAGCTACTGGGTTACTCTTTGGAGCCATATATACAACTGACACATTTTTCTATGCCTTTCTGTGGCTCTAGTGTGGTCCCACATTTTTTTCTGTGCCATTCATTCCCTCAATGCTAACGCTCTCATGTTCCAACATGCTTTTAGTCATTTATAAAAGAAGCAGATAATTCTGTCATAAAACCAAGATTTCATATTCAAAACTAAACATCATTAAGCATGCCTTGTTAGTTTTTTGTTGACTTCACATCTTTCTTTTTTGTTACCATGTTATTCTCTTTTATAATGGGAACTTTTACTCTGTGCCATTGAGTACATGAAGATTATAATTTGATTTTTGATATTTCAAAATGAGACAAAAGATTGTCCTGAGTTTTAGGATAAATTAAATCATTCACCTACAAATACTTATCTAATTTAAATTGTTTCTTAGTATGTATGTTGATGTGTACATGTGAGTGATGATACCATCAGATGCAAGAACAGGACATTAGAGTAGGAGTTATGTGTATTATTGGTATAATAGCAATATATTATGTGTTCTCAGGACCAAAATGACATCCCAAGAAGAACCAGTACTCACCCTTATCCAATTATTAACCTCTCCAAGACTTTGTACCAAAGAAATTTGAAAAGTTTCTTGATTTTTAAGACTTTGAGGATATATATATGTGTACTAAACTTATTTGTCATAAGAAATAAACATAAGACTTTAAGAATCACTGGGGAATGTTATGTTTTAAAAGTTGTATCTCAGCTTGATTTGGGAATAAAGTTGACAGGTAATAGAGATGAGATGGTTAATATTAAGTCAATTTGATGAAATTTAGAAGGAGTAAGAAAGAAATTTTGGCATGTCTCTAAGGGCATTTTCAGAAAAACTTGACTGCAATAGGAAAATGTCCTCTGGGTGTTGGGGGCTCCATTTTTTTGGATTTACATCCTGGGCAGAAAAAGAAAAGTGGGGCAGAATATCATCAGAGTGATATAGTTTGTCGTTTTCTGCTTCCTGACTGTAAATACACTGTGACCAGCTCTTTCACAATCTTTTCTTGTTGGTTTGTTTTTCAAGACAGGATTTCTCCATAGCTTGAGGGTCTATCATTGAATTAGTTCTTGTGGACCACAGTGGCCTTAAACTCACAGAGATCTGCCTCTTAAGTGCTAGGTTTAAAGACATGCCACAACTGCCCATCTTCTCTTATAATTTTACAACTATACTTTTTCTGCCTTGTTGTACTTTCAAACCAGAAGCTAAAGTCAACCTTTCCTTTCTCATGTTGTTTTCTTCTTATCGATTTTGCGACAGTCTTGAGAAAAGTAATTAATACAGGTTGTTTTTAATCAAAGTTCCAATTTTTGCATTTTGTAGCATTTATTTACAACTATCATGTGTCTCCAACTCTAAGCACTGTGTAACTAAGGAAATACATAATTAATTTAATTGGGGGAAAATATGAACATCATCTTCATGGTCTACCCCAGTGTATTTTCTGGGGACTAAGTATTGTTGTCTGTAGAAAGCATCAGTTATTATAACACTAATTGTTTTAAGATTCTTAACAAGGCTACCTGGAAATATTCACCTTTGGGAATTCCAAGGGAGTAGCCAAGTGACATAAGAAGGTCTGTTATAGAGATTTTGATCGCACATGGTTTAAAAATAATTCATATTACTGTTTACATAAAGATGAAATATGTTTCTTAATCCCTATATTTTCAAGCTTCTGCTAAGAAATTAATACAGGTAAGCTAAGATCTTAGGGTTTTCATACAGCCAGAGAGTCAAAAGTATATTTGAATTTCATAGTTTCCAAAGGAAATTCTATGTTCTGTTATTGTAGCAGGTGGTCTACTGATAAACTGAACCCTACTGAATATGAAACTACTTCCCCTCTGCATATTGTCTTGTTGGAAAAATCTTCCTATAGAAATCTGAAAACTATCTCTTTCCTAGGAATTTGAAGAACCTGAACTGTTATGAAGTAGAAATTTCAAATTTCAATTGGTAAAATATTAAAATATACTGCTTAAAATATTTAAAATATTGTAGATATGGGTGTGTTTATAAAAGTTATTAAATGTGATATAGTTTAACAGTGACTTGTTCACCTTTATTTTTTTTGTTTGACATCTTTCTTTACTTCCCCAGCTGGAGCATTCTAACAGCCTGGCACATGTCTTGAATTTTAGACCTCTACCACATTAGTATGCCCAATGTCACTGCAATAACTGGATTCATCCTTATGGGCTTCTCTGACGTCTGGGAGCTACAGACATTATGTGGAGTGTTCTTCCTAATGATGTATATGGTCGCCCTAATAAATAACTTTATCATCATCATTCTTACCACCCTTGACATGTATCTTCAAACACCCATGTACTTCTTTCTGAAGAATGTGTCCCTATTGGATGTCTTCTTTGTGTCTGTCACTATCCCAAATTTCATTGTCAGTAGCCTAACTCACAACAGTTCCATTTCCATTATTGGTTGTTCCCTTCAGGTATTTTTAATGACTTCATTCTCATCAGGAGAAGTTTTTGTCCTAACTGCCATGTCCTATGACCGCTATGTTGCCATTTGCAGTCCCCTGCACTATGATGCCATCATGAATAGTGATACCTGTGTGCTGATGGCGGGTGTTTCATGGGCTACTGGGTTACTCTTTGGAGTTTTATATACAGCGGGCACATTTTCCCTGCCTTTCTGTGGATCCAATGTGATTCCACAATTTTTTTGTGATATTCCCTCTTTGCTAAGAATTTCCTGCTCTGAAACACTTGTGGTCATTTATTCAAGTCTTGGGGTTGGTCTTTGTCTAGGTACATCGTGTTTCATTTGTGTTGTGATCTCTTACGTTTACATATTCTCCACTGTGTTAAAGATTCCTACTACTAAAGGTCAGTCCAAAGCATTTGCCACATGCATCCCCCACCTCACTGTTTTCACTGTCTTTATTGTTACTGCTTGCTTTGTCTATCTGAAGCCGTTGTCAAAGACACCATCAATTATAGACCGGCTATTTTCTGTGCTATATACTATGTTGCCTCCAACAGTTAATCCTGTGATCTACAGCCTCAGAAACACTGATGTTAATAATGCTTTGAGGAAGTTGCAGCAAAATATCTGCTAGAGAGATTCACTCATTGAATACTTCAAAAAATTAGAGAATGGTGTGATATGTCATAGGTTATAGGAATGATTTATGATTTTAATCATTGGAAAGATGAAGTGAGTATCTACATATGATCATTTAATGGTTCATTTCTTCTGTTTTTTTAAGAATATGGCAAAAAAGATATGGAGATTGTTATGGTTAAATTAGTGTATAATTTGGAAAGTATATGAACTGCCTATGAAAATTTGCTCCTGACCTCTTTAAAACTTACTTGTGAGGCAGGAGAACATTGTGAACACAATATCTTAAGTCCAGTGCATTCTGGAGATCGACCCCATTTCATAACATAGCATCAGAATAGATGTACAAAGTAATTCTAGACAGATATTGAAATATTTATTTTGTAACTGCGTGATATATCTTTCTTTGTCTAATGTCTGTATTCCAGGTACTTTACTCCTTAATTCTGTGAAGACAAATGCATTCCATCTGAGGTTTTAGAGAGTCTTTGGAATCCATTATAATTATAGCAGAAATCACTTTGATTCAATTCTCAGAGTTTATTTCCTAATGTGTTTTATGGTAAAGATTATTCTTTATTGTGTGTTAACTTCTGGAGACTCTTTTACATAATACTTAACCTTGCATCTAAAAAATAATTCACTTCTCTATGATCCTACATACACATCTTCTAATGTTACATTGTTCTATAATCAGTTGAACAAAATACTTAGTGTGTCCTGTACATCTTTATAAAGTAAATAATAAGACAAACACATATTCCTTTCAATGAATTGAAAAAGAAAAATTATCCAGGTTTCTGCTAACTCTTCTGAGGTTATTAAAACAACTACACACTCACTTGCTCCTCAGCAATATGAAATTCTGTAAGACCTCCATACAATGGAAAAATAATATCTTCCACTGATGGGATTTGACCAATAAGCACACATTATAAGAATATTTGGCCCACCATGTTGAATCTTTATTTCAAGCACCATGTGTACAGGACAGCTTAATTAAACTTTAGTGAAATTTCAGCACCAATTTTTTAACAAAAGAAGAGACAAGAAAACCTCATTCATCTAGAGATAACACTCAGTCAACATTTGACAATACAGTGAAATCAAGACCAGCTTTACCAGCGTGGTCCTCACTTGCAAACTCATTGATCCCATTACTTCTTCATTTTTCATGTCTTTCACTTTTTAGTGTTTCGCTTACTCACCTCAATGTCTCTCTAAAATTTATCTCACCGTTGAAAGCAAAAAGGAATAAAAAATGTGACTCAAATTCCCTCAGTGACCTACTATACTTCTTTGTAAGTTATTCAGAATTTCATAAGATATTTCTGCTGCACGTGTGTTGCAGTCTATTTCCCACTTAGTCTTCTATCAGGTTCAGTGTGGTCGGATTTATATTGAGGTCTTTAATCCATTTGGACTTGAGTTTTGTGCATGGTGATAGAAATGGATCTACTTTCATTCTTCTACAGGATGACATCCAGTTATGCCAGCTCCATTTGTTAAAGATGCTTTCCTTCTTCCATTGTATACCTTTAGATCCCTTGTCGAAAGTCAGGTATTCATAGGTTTGTGGGTTAATGTCCGGGTCTTCTATTCAATTCTGTAGGTCGACTTCTCTGTTCTTATGCCAATACCAAGCTGTTTTCAATACTGTAGCTGTGTAATAGAGTTTGAAGTCAGGGATGGTAATGCCTCCCGAAGTTCCTTTATTGTATATGATTGTTTTGGCTATCCTGGGTTTTTTGTTTTTCCATATAAAGTTGATTATTGTTCTCTCAAGGTCTGTGAAGAAGTTGGATGGGATTTTGATGGGGATTGCATTGGATCTATAGATTGCTTTTGGTAGAAATGTCATTTTTACTATGTTGATTCTCCCAATCCAAGAGCAGGGGAGGTCTTTCCATTTTCTGATATCCTCCTCAATTTCCTTCTTCAAACACTTAAAGTTCTTGTCAAATAGGTCTTTCACTTTCTTGGTTAGAGTTACCCCAAGATATTTTATGCTATTTGTGGCTATCGTGAAAGGTGATGCTTCTCTGATTTCCCTCTCCGTTTCTTTATCCTTTGTGTATAGGAGGGCAACCGATTTTTTGGAGTTGATCTTGTATCCTGCCACATTACTAAAGATATTTATCAGCTGTAGGAGTTCTTTGGTAGAGTTTTTGGGGTCACTTATGTACACTATCATATCATCTGCAAGTAATGAAAGTTTAACTTTTTCCTTTCCAAATCAAATCCCCTTGATCCCCTTATGTTGTCTTATTGCTATTGCTAGAACTTCAAGCACTATATTGAAGAGGTATGGAGAGAATGGACAGCGTTATCGTGTTCCTGATTTCAATGGAATGGCTTTGAGTTTCTCTCCATCTAATTTGATGTTAGCTGTTACATCCCTGCTAGTGATCTTTACTTTCCTTCTGATTTGAGGTATTGAAAGCTGTGTCAAAGTTGTTTACCAGCTTTGCTTCCTGAACACATGTTGCCTTGCCTTGAGGATCAGGGGATAAGGTTTTCACCTGTTGGCCCATCTGACTGTTGGGTATATAAGCCTCCGTGGTGTTATTCAATAAAGGGCTTCTTACCAGTGACTAGAGGTCTGTGTCTCTGTCTCTCTGTCTGTGTGTCTTTGTGTTTCAACCTCCAGCCCCTTGCCTGAAGCTCGCAAACTGTATTGGTAGCACATAGAGCACAGACAGGCATTGTGTGCTGCACTAAACATTTTCAGGATCCCCATAAGATTACCAATGCCCTGAATCAGTGAGAAGTAATATAGAAAAGTATACCAAAATTCCCAAAATATTATTTATAAATGTTTGTTTTCAATTAAAAATTAAAGGGTTTTGTGCATGGTCATAGATATGGATCTACTTTCATTCTTCTACAGGTTGATATCCAGTTATGCCAGCACCATTTGTTAAAGATGCTTTCCTTCTTCCATTGTATACCTTTAGCTCCCTTGTCGAAAATCAGGTATTCATAGGTTTGTAGGTTAATGTCCGGGTCTTCTATTCGATTCCGTAGGTCGACTTCTCTGTTCTTATGCCAATACCAAGCTGATTTCATTACTGTAGCTCTGTAATAGCGTTTGAAGTCGGGGATGGTAACGCCTCCGGAAGTTCCTTCACTCTATAGCATTGTTTTAGCTATCCTGGGTTTTTTGTTATGCCATATAAAGTTGATTATTGTCCTCTCAAGTTCTGTGAAGAATTTTGTTGGGATTTTGATGAGAAATGCATTGAATTTATAGATTGCCTTTGGTGGAATTGCCATTTTTACTATGTTGATCCTACCCATCCAAGAGCATGGGAGATCCTTCAATTTTCTGGTGTCCTCTTCAATTTCTTTCTTAGAAGCTTCCTACATATAACCCCAGTAGCACAGATAATAAGAGCAACATTGAATAAATGGGACTTGTTAAAACTGAGAAGCTTCTGTAAAGCAAAGGACATTATCATTAAGACAAAAAGGCATCCTACTGAATGAGAGAAGGTCTTCATTAACCCTGTACCAGACAAATGTCTGGTCTCCAAAATATATAAAGAACTCACAAAACTAAACTTTAAAATTCTAATTAACCCAATTAAAAAATGGTGTACTGAACTGAACAGGGAATTCTCAACAGAAGTTCAAATGACCAAAAGACTCTTAAGGTCATGTTCAACTTCCTTAGCGATCAGGGAAATGCAAATCAAAACAACTTTGAGATACCATCTTACACCTGTCAGAATGGCTAAAATCAAAAACACCAATGATAACCTATGCTGGAGAGGATGTGGAGTAAGGGGAATACTCATCCATTGTTGGTGGGAATGCAAACTTGTGCAACCACTTTAGAAATCAGTGTGGCAGTTTCTCAGAAAATTGGGAATCAATCTACCTCAGGATCCAGCAATACTACTTTTGGGAATATACCCAAGAGATGCCCAATCATACTACAAAAGCATTTGTTCACCTATGTTCATAGCAGCATTATTTGTAATAGCCAGAACCTGGAAACAATTTAGATGCCCCTCAATGGAAGAATAGATAAAGAAAGTTTGAAATATATATGCATTAGAGTATTAGTCAGTGGTAAAAAACAATGACACCTTCAATTTTGCATGCAAATGGATGGAAATAGAAAACACTATCCAGAGTGAGATAACCCAGACCCAAGAAAAAGGTGAATATGGTATGTACTCACTCATTTGTGGAATCTAGCCATAAACCAAGGACGTTAAGCCTATAGTTCACAAGACTAGAGATGCCAAATAACAAGGCATACCCTGGAAATCGGAAGCAAATAAGATTACCTGGCAAAAGTTGGGAGCATGAGGTTGGGGGTAGGGGTGGGGACGAGATTAGGGGAAGGGGAGAGGGGGAGAAAGAAGGGAGAAGGGAAAGACGGGCGAGAGCTTGGGGGAGTGGGAGGGTGGAGATGGATGAAGGGCAGATATAAGAGCAAGGAAGAAGGTATCTACATTAAGGAAGCCATTTTAGTGTTGGCAATAGACTTGGCTCTAGAGGGGATCCCAGGTGTCCACGGGGATGTCCCCAGCTAGTTCCTTGGACAGCAGAGGAGAGGGTGCCAGAACTGTCCTTGCCACACTATCATACTGATGATTATCTCAAATATCACCATAGAATCTTCGTCCGGCAATGGATGGAGATAGAGACAGAGACCCTCATCAGAGCAACGGACTGAACGCTCTAGGTACAGTTGAAGGGCAGAAGGAGGGAGAAGATGAGCAAGGAAGTCAGGACCACGAGGCATTGGTTCATGCCTATTCTAATGGGAGCTCACCAAATCCAGCTGAACCGGGTCTGAAAGAGCATGTGATCAAACCGGACTCTCTGATTGTGGCTGACAATGGGGCTGACTGAGAAACCATTGATAAAGGCACTAGGACTTATTTTTATGGCATGTTCTGGCTTTTTGGGACCCTAGTCTATATGGATGCACAGCTTCCTAGGCCTGGATGTAGAGGGGAGGGCCTTGGACTTCCCACG